ACAATATCAATCCACACTTACGCTTAGGTTTTATCCATCCATTGCACTAAGACCGTTAGGTTAAGGACTTTCGATTATACCACTGCCATTCCAAAAGAAAAAGCTGATGGAACGTGAAATCTTTATCTTTTGTTCCCACCGTATGATTGGTATTCCGAAATTAAATAAAAAACAACTTTGTGTCATATTACCTCTAATTAAGTAAGCTTATAAATATCTACTATTTGCTCTATTACACGTTCTTCAGGTTGAGATCAATGTGTAATATCTGTTTTTCACATTTATTCCGTTTCTGTCTTCGGACATTTCATGGAAAAGCTATGATAGATGTCTCGTTCCGGGGACTCCGACCTTGCTGCAGCAACTCCATAATTGCAGAGGGCCGGTCGATGGAATATCCACGCCAGCCTGACAGTGATCGTGAGGATCTGGATTGGCCGAGAGGAAAGTTAAAAAACGACCTTGTGTCATATGTTTTTTACATGTTCTTACTATGCCTGGTTAAATGGTTAACTTTTTTGATTGATTAAAAAATCAAAATGTACTTATTTCGCCTGGTTAAAAGTTTAAAATTGGCTTTTTTTATCTTGTTAAAAGGTTAAAAAATGTTTTGCTTTTTGTTGCAGTTTTTTTTTTTTTTTTTGCCTGTTTAACATTTTAAAATCTGCTTTTTTGCCTCTTTAAAAGGTTAAAATTTGTTTATTTTTGCCTGATTAAAATCTTAAAATTTGTTTTTTTTTATCTGATTAAAAGCTTAAAATTTACTTTTTTTACCTGATTAAATGCTTAAAATTTTCAATTTTTTTGCTTGCTTAAAAGGTTAAAACTTGCTTTTTCGCCTGATTAAAAGCTAAAAATTTGCTTATTTTTGCCTGCTTAAAAGGTTAAATGTTGCTTTTTTACCTGGTTAAAATCTTAAAATTTGCTCTTTTATTGCCAGGTCAAAATGTTACAATGTGCTTTTTTAGACTGGTTAAAAGTTTCCAAGAGTATTTTCGCGAAAGTGAATAAAATGAACGCAAATACCATTGGAAATGGTATCAATCAACTCCCCCGCGCCTAAAATTAGTATTGTACCTAAAAATTACCTAAAAAGATAAATAAATAAATTTGCGTACAAAATATTTAGATTTTGGCATTAAATAACGCATAGAGATGTTGATATGCTGCTAAATAAAATCAAGCAACCAACCAATCAACTTTTGTGCGTATGTTTAGTGCAACAGTTTTCGACCCTGACCGAAAAGACGTCGAGCAATTTTCAAATTCCGGCTTTGTTTATACTGTCCCCTTTTACAGAAGTTCCCATCGGAAAAAATATGAATCCATGTCTTGCACTAGCAATATATATATATATATATATATATATATATATATATATATATATATATATATATATATATATATATATATATATATATATATATATATATATATATATATATATATATATATATATATATATATATATGAAGAAATATACTCTTAAGGCTTGCTATATTTATGGCTAAAGTGCTCAGTATCAGAGATAAAGCGTGTGTAAATATAAAAGTGAACATTGAAGTAAAGAATTAGAGGCGACAGGCTGTTCATACTAGACGCCATCGTCAGGCCTCACTTATATATATATATATATATATATATATATATATATATATATATATATATATATATATAGGATTCGTGTATATGGAATAAATATGTTATAAAATCAGAAAAAAGATTTGCAAGATTTTATCCCCCCTGCCCATATCACCACTTCAAATGTATCTAAGTTGTAACGAAGCTTTACATTCACATTAGATTTTAACGTTTATTCTGAGTTTTTAGCCTCTCTTTTAAAACAAAATAAATAACAAAAAATAAGTATTTTTTTCTTCGGTTTCTTCTTTAAATAATTTTATAATCTTTTAAACTTAATACATAATTTAAAATTTAAAATTGGTAATTTTTAATTATCAATTTTATAGTACAATTTAATATTAAATAGTTAGAATTATTTCTATTTTAGTCTAACCCCTAACATAAAGGCATTAATTATTATATTCAAAGTTCGTTGTCAAGTTTTTTGAATTCTCATATACTTTATTTTGATTGGTCATTGCAGCTTATGTAACAGCGTTTCCCCTATCGAGAGATGTTTGGTCTACTTGAACATTTTAAAACCCTTTATTCTACATTCAACATCATCAATTGATAAGACACGAGAAGTGTTGAAACAAAATGGCTATTTTTGTAGTGATTTTACAACATATCTATGTTATAATTTTCGAATAAATTATATATATATATATATATATATATATATATATATATATATGATAAGCAAATATAAATAGATATAAGTCGAAGAATGAAGAAAAAAATTTGGAAAAACAAAACAAAATCCTTAAAATACGATTATGTTGTTTTAAAATGAATCTTATTCATTTATCTCTTTTGATAAGACTTGTTTTTATGTCCATCGTTTTGCCGTTTTATACTGATTATGTTAATTGTATTTTAATGAATATTGTCCATTTAAGAAGGTTATTAAACCGAAACGCCAGACGTCGACATTTCATTCATATTAAAACAATATAATCGCATTTTAAGGATTTTTTTTTTTGTTTTTCCAGATATTTTCTTCATATATATATATATATAGTCGACTCTCCCCGTCGAATTCAACGTATGAGGATCAAGCAGATCAGTTCCCAGGAAACCGACAGCCCAACAACAGCACATGAGACTTTGATTATAGTGGCGAAGTTTTGTGAAGGACCATCAACACTTTTTGAAGGGCGGAATTCAAAGACCTGGTGCACTACATGCCACAAGGTCCCCAAACTACCCTCCGCAGGTTTTAAATTCAGAGTTGTCCTTCTCCTAGACTAGTTGCAATCCAAGGCTATAGAACCCAGTCTGTCCCGCTATTTACCCATAGCTGGAGGGAGTAGAAGAGGATTCATACCTTTCCCCCATTAGCGACTGAATTGAACTGGCTATATGGATTCGACTGGAATTCGAACTCGGCTCTGCGATTCCTCAATCCAAGCTGCTATCCATTACTCCACCGTGCCTCCCTATATATATAACGCTAGCAGTTTTTGAGCATACCAAATAAATATTCAACTACATAAGAAACAAAAAAAAATGTTTCCCAAGAAATGAAGTTATGATATGGTCATATATGGCTGGCAATAGGACAATTATTTTTGCTAATCAACGTCGTGATGATTCAGTAAATCTTTTTTTTTTATCCCGTGACCCGTAGGGGCACCATGTCTACTGCAACAGCAGTAGAATTGGTGTTTCTTAGGCAAGATAGTCTGATGGAGCCCAACCCTGTCCAGTCCGGTTTTGAATTCAGAGATTCTCCTACGGCTAGAGCTGGACAGACTGGCTATAGAATCCAGTCTGTCCTGCTATTTAGCCATAGGTGGGCGGAGAGGAAAGGGATTCATATATTTCCCAAATGGTATTAGCACGTAAGTGAATGTAATGGATCCGACTGGTATTCGAACTCGGCTCTCTGATTCCTCAATCCGAGGCGCTATTCATTACTCCATTGTCCCTCCTAAATTTGATAGAATCATCGAAAAAAAAACGTTTGCCTTTTTCGGAAATATCCTAACACGAAAAAGAAAAGGAAAAAAAAAAAGCATGATGAAAGGCGGAGAATACAAGAGATAAACCAAACATCTGAGCAGAACTGACCGTCAAAAAAACAACAAGAATATAAGAAATAATTTTAGGAATAAAATCGTGTAAAGTGCAACAGAAGGAGAAAAAATTAATGAAAATAAGTAGTGGATTGTAGAAATAAGGTGTCTTAGTTAGGCGTCGGTCCGTCTTCCAGCTTCTGTGATTTAAGGTTATTTTGCCAGATAGGGACCGATCCTTAAAACTAGGTGCTACCAAAATGGATAATAAAGGAAGAGTAAAGGGTGGGTAGAATCGGGGATAAGGGCGTGGGGTTTCAGTAAAATTTACAGGGGGAACCAATATAACGAATCACAAAGAAAAGATTACAGTTTACTATACTGGGTGCGATGGGTAAATTGTCGCAATTTTATATTTTTAATTTTGCACATGCGCGTTATTTGTTTTTGATTTTGTCGATTACACTGTATTGTTAGTTTGGCACCGTCTGTGAGGAAAAGTGCACCATGAAACAATTCACTCCGCCAAAAATTTCGAAAAGGCATTCTGTACTGCATTCGCTCCAATACGAACATTTCAGAGTTATTGGGTATCAATCTGAAGGTAGTGCAGAGGATTCAGAAAGAGTTACATGAGTCTAATGTTGATTGCGAATGTACGGCAGCACGGAAAGCACACTCTGATCGTTCTGATAAGAAAAGGAACTCCCAAATTTGTGGGTTGAGACTTCAGACTCAACACGGAGGCCTACATTGAGTGCCTTGAGGAGGTAGGGCTGCCCTGAGTCAAGTGGGTGGCTACTGGAAAGACCTATGTCTGGCAACGAGATTCTGCACCATGCTAAACCAGCAGAAGAAACCAGACGTGACTGTCAGACAATTTCTGCGACTAAATTAGCCCATTCCATCTGGCCACCTAACTTACTAAACTGCATCCCCCTTGATTATTATATGTGAGGCACAATTGAGCGAGAAACCAACTGCTTTGTAACACCAAAGATGAACTGAAGACAAGGGTCATAGCAGCATTCACCATCTTAAACAAGGAGACCGTCCAGAAGAGATGCTGGAGATTCCAAAGTCGTCTGGAGCCTGTGTTTGAAGTCAATGGAGATTTTATTGAATAAATTTACTCTTTAGTATTTCAAGATATTTTTGCGTAATTTGAGTAAATATATCTGTTAAAATGAGATGTTTTTTATTTTATTTTTGCATAATTTAGACGACAATTTATTCAATTTTATATATATATATATATATATATATATATATATATTATATATATATATATATATATATTGTATATATATGTATATATATATATATTTATAAGATATATATATATATATATATATATATATATGCACATAATGTAATATGTTTTGTATGTACTTTCAGTGTCTTCTTTTTTATCGTAATAAATACAGTAACGAAAAAATTGAATCATCAAACCTAATAAAATATCTTTATATGCTTATTTTATATATTATTTATATATAATTGTTTTTATATGAAATATTATTTATTATTATTATTATTATTATTATTATTATTATTATTATTATTATTATTATTATTATATGCACATTTCCCTCTGGGTCCCAGCAAGAGACCTAAGGTCAGAAATCGCTTTATGAAATTTTCCACTGATCATTTTTTTGTAAAAAATCCCCTAAGATCACACACATTTTGCATAGATAAAACTCTTCGTAATGTTTGATCTGTACTTGTGAGTACAATATTTTGCATTTCTTTAAGGCATTATTATTATTATTATTATTATTATTATTATTATTTAGATATAATAAGATTATCAAAATTCTTCATCTGAAAGATTTTGTTATTGATGCGTGTACATGTATGTGCATGTCAATAAATCCATTTGGCTAATGAAGTGAAAAGTATTTATTTTACACAATATATTATGATTTTATTTTCTTTAATTTCTGTTGTATACTCAGTTCTTTCGGGTCCCAACCAGAAACCTAAGTTCAAAAATGGCATCATGACGTTTGCAACTGGGCATTTTTGAAGGAAACACACACACACACACACCTAAGATCATGGATATTTTACATAGAGGAAGCTCTTCGTAAGCTGTGAAATGTACTTGTGAGTACAATTATTTTTTATTTCTTTAAGGCATGGACTACCTGCTAACCCTTCAATGAGTCTATTTTAATCTTTTCCAATCAATCCGAGGGCTCCCACTACAACTGGTGTCCTTATGTGCCACATTTTGTAGGTTTCGATTTCAAGGCCCTTGTATTCTGATAGTTTTCTTCAAAGATAGATTACAATCTTCAGGGACTGCCTTGTCAATAAGAATCGATCAAAGAATCCTACCGACTAAAATATAGTAATCGAAGCAACATCGATGAGGATAATAGTTTGAATAGTTCTTGGAATAATTATAATATTTCTAAATTTTATGTCAGGAGAAAGTGTACTGGATAAAATTTGATAAATTCCACAAAGACTTGAATATAAGCTCGAATAATTGCTTGAAAAACGAGAATACGTAAAGTTTAGACATTATTATGAATGCCGAAAATTGTTTCTCTTGTAGTGATTGAGACAAACAAGATGTAGAGCAGGCATGGGGAACCTTTTTCGAACAGTGGGCCGCATGAAGCACAGTTCATTATAAGATGGGTCGCAATACTTAAAAAATATATCAAGGTAATTTTTCATTAAAAGATATGGCAGTCATCCATTTTCCCAACAAAAGAGCATGCGCATTAGCATCTACCTTAGAAAAATGGGAAAAATCGATTTTTTCTTTGGAGAAAATATTCCTTTTATAATTAAAAAAACAACAACTGAAGTCTTCGTATATTATCACTGATGACAGAGTGATTAACACATGCTGCTGTGTGTCATTTGTTTCTACTTCATTTATTTGACGACGCAAAAGACATTTTTAAAGAAGTATATTTATTATCTCACGAGAGAAAAATAATCATCATTAACGTTTCCTGAAGCAAAAGATGTTTACACTTATGATCTTCCTTAGTGAAAATCACCAATGATTTTAAATGCTGACTACGTAACCTTCAACGAAAAGTTACAAATTTCAAGAAACATTGTGCTTAATCATTGTTTATGTATGTGGCTATGCATGAGAGAGAGTATGAGTGAGCAAAAGGAAACAAATAGTTTAACAAACGTTATTTACCTTATGAAATTAGGCGTACCATTCAGAATGCCAATCGGGATGCATGTGGCACGCGAGCGGCAGTTACCCCGTGATAGATGTAGATATTCATTCGATTAATCCATTGAATCAAAACACTATTCCATCTCAGAAATTCTTACTGTAAATACCCGAATTATTGATCGAATTATGACAAGACATCATCTCGTTAAGTGTCATATCCGAATTATTGATCGAATTATGACAAGACATCATCTCTGTAGGTCTGGGAAAGTACCGGAGAAGAGGGAATAAAATAAAAGAATTCAATCAATGGCAACAACAAAGGAGAAATATAAAGGCAAGAAAAAGAAATCAATAAAAACAAATTTAAAGTTAAACATAAAGAAAAATCTCACCGACGTTCTATAAACGATTTCACCAGTCGTTCCAGAAACATCGAGGGAGACATTGTGGTTAACTTTCTTTCCCTATATTCAACAGGGGAGATTTCGCCACCCTCAAAGTCAGGTCTTCACCGAATTTTTAAGAACATCCCACACACCTATAATCATTTAAAATCTCCCCTTCTTCCCATTCTTATTGCTCTCTCTCTCTCTCCCATTCTCTCTCTCTTTCTCTCTCTCTCTATCTCTCTTTCTCTCTCTCTCTATCTCTCTTTCTCTCTCTCTCTCTCTCTCTCTCTCTGCAGGATCGGTCCGAAATTCGGATATCTGAGGGAGTGCGGAATAAATGTAAAGAAAATGAAATAAAGAATTCAAGCAACAAAAAGAAGGCTAAGTGAAATACCATACATACAATTCTCACTTCTCTTTTGTTCTTATATATATATATATATATATATATATATATATATATATATATATATATATATATATATGTGTGTGTGTGTGTATGTATGTATGTTATCACCTTAAACATTATTTCTAGTGGATACTCATATCTGAGGAGACGTTCCATTTATTTATTAAACTGTATATTTGTTTATAGGGTGCTATGGATAAATTGTCTAAATTACGCAAAAATGAAAATAACACTGACATCACATTTTAATATATATATATATATTTACCAAAATTACACAAAAATATCTTGAAAGGCTAAAGGGGAAATTTATTCACTAAAATCGCCATTGGCTTCAACCAAGCCTTCCAGACGACTTCGGAATCTCCTGCAAATCTTCTGGGCGGTCTGCTTGGTCAAGTTGGTGAATACTGCCATAATCCTTGCCTTCAGTTAACCTTTGGTGTTAAAGAAGTTTTATTGGTCTCTAATTCAACTGCGTCCGACACATAATAATCAAGGGGGTTGCAGTCTGGGGAGTTAGCCAGATGCAACGGGTATTGTGGTCGTAGAAATTGTCCAACGTCCATGACTGGGTTTTCCTGCTTGTGTGGCATGGTGCAGAGTGCTGTTACCAGACATAGGTTCTTCCAGCAGCCATGCCCTTTATCCAGGGCAGCCATACTTTCTCAGTGCACTTGATGTAGGCCTCTGTGTGGAGTGTCATGCCTCCACCAAGAAATTCATGAGTTCTTTTCTTATCAGAGCAGCCTGAACTTCATTTCACCATTAGATTCATTCAATTCTTTCTTAATCTTCTGCACTTTCCTCATATTGACGTTTAAACACTCTGACATTTTCATATTGTAGCTTCCAGCGCGAATGCTGAACAGTAAAACATGTTGTTTCCAAATTTCTGACTTTGTGTATTGTGTCATGGTGCTCTTTTTCTCACAGACAGACTCCTACTATACTGTGAAGTTGACAAAAAATATAAAATGGCGACAATTTACCCATCCCATATATTATTATTATTATTATTATTATTAATTCCTTTGATTTCTTATGTTTATACATTTCTTTCCGGGTCCCTCCCAGGGACCTAAGGTTAGAAATAGCATCATGACACTTTCCAGTGGCAAAAAAAAAAAAAAAAAAAATTACATAGATAAAGCCCTTCGTAAAGTGTAAATTTGGCTGTACTTGTCAGAATAATTTTTTTGTATCTCTTTGAGGCATGGACTTCCAGGAATCCGTTTAATTATTCTACTGGAGTCTTTTCCAACCAATCGTAGGCGTCCAACTACAATTATTATTATTATTATTATTATTATTATCTGCAGACTTGAGTCTTCGACAGATCTTATTGAAGAAAAAACTTACCCTCTCTGGTAGAATTGTATATATATATATATATATATATATATATATATATATATATATATATATATATATATATATATATGTACACAAAATTATCAGAAGAATTTTAAAAAGTATATAAAATTAAAAAACTGAATGAATTCCGCTACTTAAGAAAAAAATCTTAACCCCCTCTGTTGTGCATATGTGTAGTCCTACCAAAGTAACAAATTTAATCAGATGAAGCCCAGAAGGATGAAACGTGTCACTAGTAAATTTTTTCTATGCTGTCATACAATTTAGCCAATACTGTTCTTGATATATGTTCTAACCTAGGAAGGGTTACTGAATGAGGAATAACCAAAACGGAAATTGGGACTACAATAGTAACTTTTATAACATTAAAAAAATACAATACTCACCAGCGGCGTGAAGTAGGTAAACCACTGCTAGTGATGGACTACTTCAACAGCAGTGTCCAACGTATTTATGAGGATTGGGACATATCCATCAGTATTCACAAGTAAGGTATGTAACAATATATAAAAATATATATCGTATTCTCATATATATATATATATATATATATATATATATATATATATCAGTTGTATGGATACAACTCATATCCATACAACTGAATATGTCAACTCTATCAGTGATATTGAGCATTTTCCAATTAGTATCGCGCATGAATAATATTTATAGAAATTATATATATCAATATATTATATATATATATATATATATATATATATATATATATATATATATATATATATATATATATAGAAATGTATAGGGATCGAAATAAGAAATCAAAGACTAGGATTCAATTCCAGCCATGTTCGTTACATTCACTTATGCACAAAAACCTTGTGAATCCATCTCTCCGTCCCCCTACCTATGGGATAAATAGTAGTACAGACAGCGTTCTTTAGACTTGGATGGGAACAAATTTAGAAGAGGGGCAATGTGAATTCCCAACCGTAGCAAGGTCGTTTGGAAACCTAGTGGCACACTATGTACACCTCTTCGGTTCTCCCGAAAAGAAATGCTGTTGGCCTGCACAAGAGGTCACCGCTATAACCAAATTATAAGTGCGGGTAGTCTGGGTGTTCGGTTATAAACACTGACCTGCTTGACCCTCAAATGTTGGAGACGAATGGAGAGTCCACAATATATATATATATATATATATATATATATATATATATATATATATATATATATATATATATAGTTATCCTACACGATTTTCGGCCACTTCCCTAGCCATTTTTAAAGTGTTGTTATTGCTAGTTTCTTTTCGTGGTTTTGACTGTGTGAGATGTATTATTTGTGTGATTTTTTAATTTATTCCGAGCCTTCGCGTGTTGGGTTGGACAGGAAATCTATCTATATATCTATCTATATATCTATCTATCTATCTATCTATCTATCTGAGTGTTACTAGGATATAGAATCCGAACATGACCTTTAATAAATCAGACATTTGAAAAATGTTTTATAGACATTTTTAAAGCATTTCACCCCAAGCAATCTTTCCATTTTTTCTTAATTCCATTCTTGTTTTACTGGACGATCATTTTCCGTTTACAATCACTTTCTTTTTACATTTTCTAAAGTTACACTTCACTTAGCCAATCTCTTTTGTAGACACCTGCTAAGACACATTTAAGTCTGTTAAACATAAACAGAGCCCACCTATGGTTTATAATGCAAATATTCTGAGCAGGACTTAGTAACACTTTCAGGGAGAGAATGCATAATCTGCCAATATCAGCAATTTGATCAAATCCGCAACCTCAAAACCTCAGTCACACCGGCATGTGACTTGATGCTAGCATAATCATCGATGGTTTCCCAATTTTTCCGTCTATCCAATTTCACTATCTATCTATCTATCTATCTATCTATCTATCTATCTATCCTATCTATCCATCATCTATCTATCTATCATCTATCTATCCATCTATCTCTCCATCTATCTATCTATCTATCTATCTATCTATCTAATTTTCCTCCCATCATATCTATCTATCTATCTATCTATCTATCTATCTATCCAATTTTCCTATCTATCTATCTATCTATCTATCTATCTATCTATATATCTATCTAATTTTCCTATCTATCTATCTATCTATCTATCTATCTATCTATCCAATTTTCCTCTCTATCTATCTATCTAATTTTCCTATCTATCTATCTATCTATCTATCTATCTATCTATCTATCTATCCAATTTTCCTATCTATCTATGTACATATATATTAAAACTAACAATGAAAATATTTTAAAATTTTATAGTTGTAATTTTAAAATTGTAATTAAATTTGTAGTTAAATAAAATGAATTCTAACCTGTTCTTTGTACATACATATGAAACTTTATTACTTAGGTTACATATATTTGAAATAAATAAATAATTTAATTAATAAATAAAGTTTACTAAATCTGAGAAATGACTTAGCTAGTTTTGTAGTAAGTGCCATTAATATTACTTAAATAATATTTAAATTTAAAAGTTTATAAAAAAAAAAAAAAAATTGTAATTTACATATACTTTGATATGGAAAAAAATAATTTTACTTACTATGAGTAATTTTTCCTTCTGTTATAAAAGTAATATAGTCTATTAAAACTAAACAATGAAAATATTTTAAAATTTTAAAGTTGTAATTTTGAAATTGTAATTAAAATTGTAGTTAAATTGAATGAATTCTAACCTAAATTTCTTTTAAATAATACTACACGCACTAAAAAGAATCCAAAAAAAAAAAACACCTAGTAAAATAAAATTAATATGTAATGCCATAAGATGTAATCTTTTGAATGACCCATGTCCTTAGTACTTACATGAGAAACATTATATTACTAGGTTTATATATAAAATAAAAGTTTACTAAATCAGTGAAATTCAGTAACCATTTTTGCCGTCATAGTCATAAAAAAAAAAAAATGTAACCTCATATACATACTTAAACTTGATGTTAAAATAATCCTACATAATATAATGGATTCTAATACATTTAACTATTATTAAAAAGAATATAGTAAAATAAAAATTAAAAAGGAGAATATTTCAAATCGTAGTTAAATAAAAAGTATTAGGGAAAAAAAAAACCCCGAAAATCTTTAAATTTAAAAAATGACGTTGAAATTTTTTTTACCGTTAACAATTTTAACATCCAGACGACATCCATTCAACTGATGTCAGGTTTCATTGTAAAATACATCCCTACCCCTTACCAAATTGTAGCTAATAACTGATACAATGATACTGACATAAGGAAAATCTAGACATCCCTTGTTCAATTTAAGTAGAATATTCTGTAACCATAGAAACGTGATTTAAGCTGTGTCTTTAAAACCCGGTAATTTTTAAAAGTTACTCCAAAATTCGCTTGAAGATGAAATGGAACTAATGCTTTTAATTTAATTGCAAAATTAAATTCGGGGTTTTTAGCTTCTATTTTTGAAACATGGTTGGAACTGTGTAGCGAAAAAAAAACATTTTAAATCAATTAATTTATAATATTATATATATATATATATATATATATTTCTCTTCTTTATGATGTCAGTCTATGTCAGTCCGATCATATCTTTCAATCTATCTATTGCTCTCTCTCTCTATTTCTCTCTCTCTCTCTCTCTCTCTCTCTCTCTCTCTCTCTCTCTGCTCTGCTCTTGAAAATATATTTTCAAATGAGCACTGTGTTGAACGACAAGCTAATTCTAAAAAAAACGGTCAACTACGGAAATGCGAAGCTCTGCAGTAAAATGAATGGAGAACTTTGGCTGCTTGGCGTTTATTTCCGTTTGTAAAAACAATACGCTAGATTTGGCTGACTCGTTCTGTCGATTGAAGATAGTTCAGTGGTAGAAGCTCTGACTGAACCATATCGGTTGAGTTTCGATCCGGGCTTGAGGCTTTCGGTTGTCTTGTCGCACTGAGCTGTGCTACAGCGAAATAGTCTGCGAATGATATATATATATATATATATATATATATAGAGAGAGAGAGAGAGAAAGAGAGAGAGAGATAGATAGATAGATAGATAGATAGATAGATAGATAGATAGATGAGCTATTGTGTACACTATTTATATTATTCGGACTATTGTCCTCATCTTTGTCACCATGTTTATTATCTGTTGTTGAAGATGACGATGAACAGTTGTATGGTTTGAACTGAGAACCACTGCCAATCCTCAACTGATAAAGCAGGATTTTCTTCAAGGGCTGCTTCAAGAAGCTTTTCATCAAACTCAACTGGACGTCCAGTTCGATCTTCATCTTCATCTTCAAGGGTGAAATCTCCACCTCTGAATTTTGCAAACCATCTTCTGCAAGTTCTTTCATTCACAGAATTCCTCTCCATAAACCGAATGAATGTTTCTAGCCGCTTCGACTGCTGAGTTTCCTTTCTTGAACTCATAAAGCATTATGTGCCTCAAATGATTCTTGGGTACTTCCATGTTAGCAGGGTTTTAATCAAACAAAATTTAATTTTATTGTTCTCTGAAATAAAATTTGATCAGTTTAAATGCATCTAAACATAAAAATAATGTTCAGCTCTATTAGACATTATAAAATACTCTTTAAATTTCGTTCATTTTAACAAAAAAAAGCTAAAATTTGGACAGAATTTATGAGATGACTTGATATTTATTTTTAATCCGACGTTTTTCTTACTTCAAATGTTGTTATAGTAGTTACTTTGTATAAGAAATAGAGGTACCCATTTTAATTTATTCAACGATATTAGGCTAACCGGCCTGCGCATTCGAAAAATACGTCCATCGGCAAGGATCGAACCTACGTCCCCATAGTTTGATCCAGTGTGTTTTATCACTCGTCCACGAACGGACATTTATTGTGACAATGTTTCTTCGTGTTTCTTTTTTCTTTTGCTTTTTTACAAAAATATATACACAATTTTCAGGAACGGAGAGGAACCCGAAGGAGGCTACGCCGAAGGGCGGAGTCTCTTTCGGGGAGGTAAACCCACCCTGAACCCGTTTATACGGGTTCAATGGGCATATTTTTGGCCGATCCCACGGGCTCGGAGATCCCACGTTAAACCGGCCTTGTGCCACATGATGGCCACGTGGGGGGGGGGGACTAAATATAGTCAGTCAGTCGATGTCGGACGACAGTTAGTCGAATACTAAAGTATCAGCGACCCCAACAAGATTACTCTGCGTAATACCTATTATATCAAGTTCCTAACGTTTTGTACGTCGGACCTATTTTAGGAACGATTTAGTACAAATACAAGCCTCCACTGCGAAATCACTCCACAACAGCTAATATCTTGTCACAGTTATATAAAATCCTGAACAACCACCGTCTTTGTTAAACTGAAAGGCACGGAAGGAAAAGAGTAAACTCGAGAAACCATCTGGTAGAGGATAACAGGATTTTATTCCCATTGATTTCTAAGCAGAATAGTTCGATAACCTCCACAAAATAAGAGGTTACTTGCACTAAGACTTATTCTGGGTGTCTGCGTCGCAATGTGGGTGGTGATCCGTTTTATGTTGAAATGGATGCCATTGGACGTTTATGAACGTAAACGTTTTCGTCGTCAGTCTTCTCTTCTGAGACATGAAATTATTTTTGCATCTAGACATTTATCGAAAAATAAAAGAAACTTGTATTAGTCTCTCTTGATTTTTTTCTCCGCACCTTCCTTTGCGTTGCTGCTTGTCAAACTTTGATCCCGGTTCGTACCAGGTAGACCACCAATTCACAACCGCCAACCAGTATGAAATTATATCGCTTCATTTTAACTGAATTTCCGGCCTATCTTTTATTGGTGTTATCCTCTGTGGGCCAGATATGCTGAAAACCACATCGTGGGTGGTGCGTTAAACCCAGAAATTTATACGACGTCATAGTCGGCTGAGTGATGGCTCTGTCAGGGTTACTAATAATAACCCTGACAATCTCGTGGCCACGACTTTTAAACTAGCCGAATTATACGCGTGTCACAGATTTGTTTATTTTTTTTTTATTATTATTTTATTTTTTTTATTTTATTTTTTTGTAAGAAAATGATGATTGATTTTAAATCATTGTTATAATTTGTGGAGAAAAAATTATGCATTTCAATATTACTCAATGATCATGCCGATCTGGCCTCTATCTTCTGGGTTTTTCCTTCTATATTTTGTATAGGAGTCATTCCCATGTTCAAATTGAAATTTAATTTAAATCAAAAGGAAAAAGAAATTAAGTTGGAGAGTTGTGAAAAAAAGGCTCCAACTGATCCCTTTGACATGTATTTGATGCAATACTTGATTGAATGAATTGATGAGCAGATTTCAACATTGATATTACAGTTCAATTGTCACAACAAATATGTATTGTAAGGCACTACCCATTGATTGGTGATTTCTTGCTCAACTTGAGCACTATTGTCTCATTTTGATCTTACCAATGGGACCTCCATCTTCTGGCTTTAAATTTTAATTTAATTTAAATCAAAGGGAAAAATGTTCGGTGGTGGTGGGGGGGGGGTTCTGACCCCACCACAGAGACACCTTTTAAACAAAATGAAATCTTCACATCCAAGTACCCTAGAAGTCATTCTCATGATCAAATTTAAATTTAATTCATATCAAAGGGAAAAAATTTTCAGTGCCCCCCACACACATACACCGGGACACTCTTTCATCAAAATGAAATATACTTATCCAAGTACCTTAAGCATTTTAGTTTCAGAATATATATGGTTAAACCCTAGGAGGAATTCGATATAACAAACAGACAGAGGCTACAACATTATATATATATATATATATATATATATATATATATATATATATATATATAGAAAAATATAGTTTAAATGTGTGCTATATTTATGGGATAAAGTGCTCAATGTCAGTGATAGAGCGTATGTAGATATAAATATAAAAGTGAATATTGAAGTCAACACTCAGGGTGACATGCTGGACGCATGTCAGGCCGACTATTGCGTCCAGTATGAAACAGTCTGTCGCCTCTGAGTGTTGACTTCAATATTCACATATATATATATATATATATATATATATATATATATATAGAGAGAGAGAGAGAGAGAGAGAGAGAGTGAGAGAGGGAGACACTAACAATGTAGAAAAAGGACAAAACAAATTTTCCTTTTAAGGAGGCCATTGCCCGTACTTGATATGGTTTTAGAGTGGCAAATAAAAAAAACACCGTACGCTGCATAGTAATTGAACCTTTTTGTGTAAAATGTTTTGTTGGTTTGTTAATTTTAATCGTGAGCAAAAATCAAGATTCGTGATCCCATGTGAACTAAAAGAAAAATGTCGTATGGAACAACATCTACCATAATAACTCTACTTCCAATGTGTGCTGCTATGTGGCAAACATGCATATTTTATCAGTTACAACAAAAGATGTGCAAATTCTTTCATGACGATGGATTGGTTTGATTTATTCCTATTTTACGGTTTATCAACCCATTACAGATTATTTAATGCCAGAAAATAATTTTAAATGGAAAGAATTTTTTTGGCGGGAGGGGGGGGCATAATAATGGTTTAGGGATACAAGTTTTACTAATTAACCCATAGCTGGTAGGAGAAGAGGTAGATTCCTACCGTACCCAAGGGTATTTGCGCGTAAGTGAATATAACGAACCCAATGGCAATTGAAATTCGGCTCTCCGATTAACAATTCCGAACTGTTATCAATTATACCACCAGCACATCCAAGCTTACATCACCTGGTATTCCCAAACGCTCACTCATCTAGATACTGACCAGGCTCGATGGGAACCAATGTTTCAACTTGATGCGGCCGTAAAAATTCAGGGCGATAAATTAATATAAATCATCTTTAATATGAAAATAACTGACTGTTGTGGTGTGCTCCCTCTAATAGGGCTATTGTGGACTCTTCCACTTACGATAAAGTTAGGAGGAGAAGTAAGCCTCGGGCGAACGGTGATATAGACTGAACGCTGGTCAATCGACACACACACTCAAGTCGTGTAACACACTTCTGTTGTATTTACTGTTCAAAACACTATTTATCTGCAGCCTCTTGTTTTGTTATTTCTTAACTATTATTTGGTCACAACACTGACAATGCTCCAAGAATTCAACCAGAAAAAGAAAAAAATGTAAAAAAAACGTAAGTAAATGAATAAGATTTATTTATACCATTTTTATAGCGTTTTCACAACTAAAAAGTTGCAATAAAAAAGAAACAATGTCGTGTTTACACTAAGAAATTATCTATATTTAGAGAACATTTAAAATATTAGCAAATAGGAGCTTAATTTTGAGATACCTACTCTGTATATAAAATAATTTGGACTGCAAGTAATGTAAAGGTCAATTCAGAATTTAGTTGCATCAAGCTTTCAAATGTTGCTCATTTTTTTTTTTTTTTTTTTTTTTTGCATGTAGCCTAAAATGATTGATTTGTTCCTAACGACATCAACATCTTGTGGATTATTTAAAGCCGAAAATATATTGGATTATAAGTATAATTCTCTTTTTAGCGAATGAATATTGCATTAACAATTTTTCGATAGTAACAAAATTCAAGTACTATTAATGAACCCATAGCTGGAAAGAGGAAATATATTCATACCTTTCCCAATGATGTTTGCGCTTAATGAAATATCACGAACCCGACTGGAATTCGATATTGGATCTCCGATTTCTTTTTTGGGACTCTATTCTTTACACCACCCGTACATCCGCGGTGAACTTAGAACAGAACTTAAAACAATAGGCACAAGATTTTGCTGTTATTTATTTGCTGTAATGTAAGATTCCTTCTTTTTTTTTCTTTTTTTTCTTTTTTTTTTTTTTAGAGAGCACCTTCTAGCGTCAGACGTTGGTTCAAATACGGAAAGCAAGGTGTTGATTTCCATAGATACCAACTATATAGCTACATTAACATGTTCAAGAACTAAGATTGCTAGCTTCAGAATTACACTCCTGTGCAAATTAATTTTAGACCCGCTGGAGTAGACAAGGTGCTATCAATTTCTATTTTTCCTCGGATTAAGTCATTTACAGTGGTATGCAGTAATATAAATGTATTTCTGGGGTGCATGATGAAATTTGTTTGACCTTGAAAAATATTGTGTCATCGGTGATTACATCAGATTTTCATCACGTCCAGACACTATTGTCTCGACTGTCGATTATTTGTCCTACAGCTATTTTCTGTGATGGACGTTACCCCAAGGAAGCGCATGAAAATTGTAACGCAGCACGAATGCGCACTGGCAAGCCTTATCAGTGAACAAATCAAAGTATAGACTGTCCCGGAAACTCTCCTGATTTAAATCCAATCGAGAATGTGTGGTTAATCTGCAAGGAACGACTTCGTGGAATGGACATACAAAGTACTAACATGTGCACTGAGTCATATTTCATTGGAAAAATACGGAAAAAAGGAAATAATAATGGAATTATTGTTTTTATTTTGTTATTGTTTTTTTGTTTTTTTTTCCAATTAATTTGAACGTGGGTGTAGAAAACATTAGTGGAAAATCTCAGAATTTCAAAATTGATGAAGCACATTATTTCGAATAAAGCATTTTAGGGCTTTCTTTAAGTGTAAAGGAGTATTGGCTAGAAACCACTATAAATTCTAGTCGAAAAATATCCCTATCCATAAGAGAAAGTTCGTAGAATAAAATGTCAAGTAATCGATAACTTAATCATGATTGAATAAAATGCACGTAACTTGAATTTCATATTCCAAATAGTAAAATAAAGCCAAGGAATCACGCTCGAATAGAAAGCACGTGTTTGGAAATTATTTGTAATGTTTAAGTGAAGATACTAATCGTAAGTCTAAAACGAACTGTGCCAAGAAACACAGAATTTCAAAAACTGATGAAGTCGAAATATGTTTCGATGCATCATAAATAATTTGCAGACATATCGTTTAGTTTGGTTTGGTTTGTTTTACGGCATATCAACCTCAATCAATTATTTAATGCCGACAATTTTTATTGCTGGTAATATTTTTTCCTTCAAAAATATATTTCTGCTAAAAATTTAAAAAGAAAAAAATGTATAACTGGTAATATAATTTTTTTTCAAAAATGTATAGTTGTTAATTTTTTTTAAGTATTTCTAGTAATAATTTATTCCTTCAAAAAATTCATTGCAGGTAATAATTTTTTTTATAAAGTATTTCTGGTATTGCAACATATTTTTACACTTTCATAGTATTTTGACCCAAGTTTGGGGTTTGCCTATAGCTGGGATCCTAACAGGTGCTACCACCCAGGGTCAAGGTGGACCTGGGAACACCAGCAATTAAGAGGTGGTTCCATGCTCCTCAAAACCTTCTGCTCAGAGGTCTTCGTGTTGGAGGTAGTTTATCGTCTTAAGCGGGACTCGGATATAGTTTATGGTGATAAAGTGCTTACCAGAAGGTATTAATCGATCAAAATTCTTATATAATGAATTCCACATTTGTTTATTGATTTTGAACAATTTTAGAGAAATCTTAGAATTGTCTTTCTACTGCATATATCAACATTCTATCAACATTTAGAAGTCATACAGAAAGAAACATCTGTTTGCATTAAAGTTCTTGTATTTCTCTTCTTGGTCGACACAGAAAAATATCAATTTTGTACAAGGTGGTTACTGACATTGAGAAATTAATTTATTTGAAGATTGAAAAGTGACGAAAACCCTAACTAGGTCCTTACTAGGAAAAGCTTTAGTGAACTCAACATAAAACTGATACATTCAGACTACCAAGCCTGGAATTTCTACTTCAATCACTCCCTCATCGCTGTAACATGGCTTCCCTGTATCTTGCCTCTCTGTTACCTCGACTTCAAGCATTTAAGCATGATACTAGATTTGCAGTTAGGTCTCTTCATTTTGCTACTGAAATTACTAGGTTACTTGCTGTAAGTTCTATTCTAATATGTTTGATCTTTCGCACTTCACGCCTGTGGAATTTTCTTTTGGCTTCTTGCTTTCCTCTCAACTACGATTTTCAAAAAATTAAGTGCATCGTCAATCATCACCTTCTGGCGTTTTAAATCCTGTAATTTTAATGCTAAGGATCTCATGAGCCGAGCGTGTGAGCAGCGATGGGGTTTTGGAGAGGATGCAAACAAGGAGAAAGCTTATATTTAACATCAGGAAGAGACGGCTGAAATTTCTGGAACACGTAATGAGAAAGAGCGGCTTGGAGAATCTGTAATACAGATTCTCCAAGCCGCTCTTTATCATTAGTAACAGCAACGTATGGTTTACCTTGCGGGCTTATGCCAGTGGATAACAGAACATGGCCTGGGGGAAGTAGCAAAGAGACAAAACTAATTGAGAGCTACGAGGGATGTGGAGAAGTGGAGAGCCATGATCGCCTATCTTCTGAAGAGACACAGCAAATTTATCGTCCTTCCACGAATGAGAAATCTCAATTCGAGTTTGAATTTAATACGCGCAAGACATGTTAAAAGCAAGAGAAACAGTGGAGGGCTGATCAAAATGTTTGTGGGAATAGAAAAAAGAATACAAAAAACTAATTAGAGAAACAAATCCCAGGAAGCTGTGGAGAGTCATGTCTTGAAAAGATATAACGCCTGTAAGAAAAAGACCAGTTGCCAACTATGCTTCACTGCTATTTTACTTATAGCGGGGTATAAACGATACGGTTTCATGCTTTTTTCCCCCTAAGGGAATTGTTATGATATAAACGCAAACTATCTCGGCTGGAATTTGAACTCGACACGACGATTCCATTTTTTGTGTTGCTAACTGTTGGGCCACACGCAACACTTCATTAGGCCACCCGTACATTCTTCCAGTTTTATTGTTATGTCGCTTGCATTAATATAAACGCAATTATGTATTTTCCATCGCTTTCTGCAACTTATTCATAGCTCTATCAAAAACACCCTACAAAATAAATATATATATATATATATATATATATATATATATATATATATATATATATATATATATATATATATATATATATATATATATATATATATATATATATATGCATTTGTAGAAGATATTAGAAGTATATAATTGCATCTGTTTTAATCTTTGTCTAATATCGCTTATATTCCGTTTCGTATCTCAACTCTTACATTGACTCATGTGCAAATATACTTAGTAATGAAATACGTATTTGTAATTACTTACATCAGCCAACCCAACACATATATAATCCTATGTGGAAATATATATATATATATATATATATATATATATATATATATATATATATATATATATATATATATATATATATATATATATATACTTTCGGTAGTTCCCTGTGTGTTCGCCCATGCTCTTCTAAGTCATATAGCGATTCTACGCCTTCTACACCTTCATGTCTGACAGCACTCCCTAACATCTCATAAAAAACATCATTACATCCCCATCAAACACCGAAAAGACGCTTTTTCGTACATCTGTGTAAATATGCGTCTCCCTTTTGATTTCGCCATCAACGACGCGGAGCTTTACGCGGCAGCCGTTCCCGCCATTCGCGAGCTGTTCAGTTCCCGCTCCAACATTGGTGGTACGCCACATCTGGCGCCACCTAGCGATCTGCTCTCCACTCTTTATATTCGTCCGTCTCTTTTGAAGGCCCGCACGCGTCGATTTCTTCTTTTTTTTTTTTTTTTTTTTGGAGGCGATAGTGGTGGTAGTTGTGGTGGGGGAGCGTAGGTCTTTTTTAATATCTCTTTCTTTCAGAGTAAATTCATTCATCATATTTCTTCTTCTCCAATATTTTTGTCACATTTTCTTCTTTCATTTATTCGTTCTCTTTCCTTTTTTCATTCCTCCTCATTTTTTTTTTTCTTCAGCCTCCTCCACCTCTATTTTTGTGACCTTTTTTTACCTCCTGTTTATTTTATTAATACACTTATTTATTTATTTTAGATTCTTCTATCATTGCTGAATAATAAATCATTTTACGCTTTTTTCTACTTATTTATTTTTTTATTTTGCGTTTTGTCCCGCGGTTTAACCTCTTCTTGTCTTCCTCTCTTTTTTTTCTTTTTTTCTTTTTTTTTTTTTTTTACTTTTCGCTTCTTTTTCTTCGCTTTTTTCTTTAATTTTTTCCTTCTTTTTTCCTTTTGTCTTACTTTGCTTAATACTTTCTTCCCTTACAAATTATCTTCTTTTTCTTTTTTCATTATTTCTTCCTATGACAGAGGTTCGAATTCAAGGTAAATGTTTGCGTTTCGAAAGCAGATTTATTATGTAAGAAGCAGTCCTTAAGTGTTTTGGCACAACTCAATCTTCCTATCCTGATTTCCATTCTACCACAATACGCAGAGAGCAAATTTAAACTAATGTTTACAAATATTGAAATAGACGTATCATCTTCTTCAGAATATTATGACTACTTTAAGAAATTTCTCCGATAGCTTAGGTGTAGGATCCCGGACTGAATCGGTAGGGTTTCGATTCCAGCTTGAAAAATTGGATGTCTACCCACACCGATAAGCTGTGATACCGCGAAACGGATTTGTATGTAGATGACTATGTTACGCTCTCGTCATTTCGATCAAGCACTATTGAGAAAAAGGTGATCGGATTTCGATGCCGGCTTGAAGAAATCGGATAAGCTATGATACAGCAAAACAGGCTTGTATATGAATATATATATATATATATATATATATTTATTAAAGACATTTTTATGTTTAACGTTGTTATTTATAGATACAAGTATTTAAGCAAATGCTCTGTTTATGATAAACAGTATTAAATAACATTTACCGGCCTGAATGTCCAAGAAATTTTCATAGAAAATATTCGTTCTTTGACAGGATTCGAACCTGCATCCTATACGGAACCGTCATATACGCTGACGTGCCTTACCTCTAGGCTACAAAGAACCTTACGGTAGACAAGGTCGAATTTACTGAAACTAAGATATCCAAAGGCATGGTACGTGGAATTAGAACAATCCTTAATTCTCTAATTACGGTCCAAAACAGAAAAAATATAACATTACTAAAACTATTAATTTCGTAAGAAGAATTTTAATAATAACACATTAATATGCAAAAAATACATAGTTGTCATTCTTCTAAGTTTTTCGTAATGACCTTTTGAAATTGTCTAAAGATTTTGTGGACACCCTATACAATAAAAGGCTTATGCGCAATGACTTCTCAGTTGTCTTCAACGAAACCTGTATAAAGAAGAATCTATATGATAAATGTGAATTTCAGTGTGTCACTGTGTCACGCTTTTTCAAATTTACTCTTAGACGCCATAGCCCAACATATCATACCATTGTGGAATCAGGCCGACTCCGTGAGCAAATTAAAAAATTATTCTGGAACGGATTCGGAATAGCAATCCTGAAATTTTGGATTTCAAATTTTCATTCCTGCGATTGTTTCAGATTCCACCAGCTTTGCTTCTACTGATAAAATTAATTAAATGGACACTACGCTCTAACTTTCAATAGCTCACGTTACCGAAATTTTGGATTCCCAAGTTTTTATTGCTGCGATTGTTTTCGGCGATTTTCTACATGATTTTTTGCTATGAAAATTTTGTGCGATTTATGCATTGGAAATAGATTTGGGATTAATCGAAATTATTAATCAAAATCCAGTGAAAGTTACCCATGAAATAAAAATAATTGTTTGTACAGAAAATAAGGACCTACGTACATCAAACTGTTGGTAAATTAAGTGACGACAGAAGAATTATCGCTGAACTTTTAAAGGGCAAGCTTAAATATTAATGTGATACTTAAATGCAGTGATCAGTTTTCAGGGGGTTTTTTTGTAATTTCTTCTTGCTTATCGCATACAGCAGCAGTAAGACATCGCAAAAAAATTCTCCACCAACAGGGGACCAGATTGCAGTCAAAATAGCCAATGGTGCGACGAGAAAAAGAATGTCACGTGCAAATGAAAGCACAAATCAAACGGCAAACCTGAGAATATGCAAAGACTCGTGTTTTTTTTCAAAGTATGGCGATCTAACAGGTAAGACTTAGAACTAAATGACCGGGTGAAGATTCGATTTTAGTGATGAAAGCTCATGCTGAATCAGCCCGAAATTTTTTGGAAAACTAATACCAGAGAAATGGAGCACCAAAGTTTCCAGACAGCCACCCAATTCGTCTCTACTAATCTGCGTGGAATGAAGCATCGGTTCCCCTACACCAGCGATATCTTGAGAAATCAGTTTACTTCTATAGCTGAATGGAAAACACCCTGCACGAATGAAGCGTTATTTACTACGTTTAGCTTAGTCCGACACAAGGCCAACATAATGAGTAATCCAGACTTGAATTTCCTAGTAGAGACATGAAACTAAATTACTAACAAATCGGTCTCAGATAAATAACAATTTCATTAAATATGACGGACAAGAAACATGAACAAATTTCCTTGTCCATCATATTTAACGAAATATGTTTAAAAGTAAGTTTTCTGCCTATACATACATATACATATATATATATATATATATATATATATATATATAGAGAGAGAGAGAGAGAGAGAGAGAGAGAGAGAGAGAGAGATAGATAGATAATAGATAGATAGATAGATAGATAATCAGTAATACCCTGAAGATCCGTTAGGTGAAACCTCGGTAGGTAGTTTGTAGCTCACTAGGTTATATATATATATATATATATATATATATATATATATAATATTCCGACACGAACTCAACTTGTATACGGGGGTTGATAAGACAGACGAATTATATTTTCGTCTGTCGAAATAATCTTATTCCCTTTATGAGATGATTTTAGATGTTAATTTGTATTCATTTTTGCCCTGAAATAATAAATACATTGAGCTATTTTTGTGGTTTACTGTTAATATTTTATATTACTTGGATCCACTTGGATCATATATAAACAGATTTGTTACCTTTTATATATATATATATATATATATATATATATATATATATATATAGAGAGAGAGAGAGAGAGAGAGAGAGAGAGAGAGAGAGAGAGAGAGAGAGAGGAGAGAGAGAGTATCAAAAATACATTTTCAAACTCTGGATCCGGTTTCTTCATACCAAAACAAGAACAAATGTCCATCAAAGCATATATCCGCACATCATTCGTTTTTGAGTTTTTAAATTTAAAGAAAGTTCAGGGTAGATGGCGCTCTTTTGCCATGTAGACTAGGTTACATTTGTAATTTATGTACATTTGGGGCTAGTCTCTTCAACGTTTAATGTGTGTATTAGTGAGTTAACTGAGTGTTCTGTTTAACATTGATAGGATATTCATATTGTGAGCAGGCAGATATGATTTTTACATACTGCCGCACGAATGGTAATGGACGCGAGGCTGCACGGCTGTATCAGATTGTGTTTCCCGACCGAAGGCAGCCGAGTCATCCGACCATTGCTACTGTTTATCGTCGCGTTTCTGAGATAGGACCCGTGGCACCACAAACCATGGATCGAGGAAGACAGAGATCCACTCGTACGCCTGGGCACGAAGTACACATTCTACAGGCTGTCGAAGATGATCCAGATATCGTTACACGTCAAGTGGCCAAACCATGTGGTACATCTCATAGTACCGCATGGAAGGTACCTCAAGAGCAGCTCCTGTGTCATTTGCAACGTGTGCAAAGTTTCACGTATTGTACATTTAACAGCGTCTACCATAACTTTTAAACTCAATAACCCCCAAAAACGAAGGATTTGGGGAGATATGTTTATATGGGGCTTTGATTTTGTTTTGGTGTGAGTAACTCCAGGAGTTAACTGTAAACGACGTTTGAATCCTGAAGATTGCTATACTCCAAATAATTATTACCTATTGTATAAACAGGGATAGGAGTCATAGGTTAATCCTAATGTCTGCAGTAAGACCATGTCATTATTTATATACTTGAGTGTTTGATATAAATACTTTAAGAATCAATGGTCTGTCTCTCAGTATATGTCGCACTGAAATTAGCCGATGTGGATAGCAACTTAATGTCTTTGACTTAACCACGGGGTCTCAGGTATTTATTTATTTATTTTAGAAACTTACATGTAAAAATGGATCTTTTTTTCTGAATCAGGTGGGATTTACGAATTCCTGAAATTAAATAAGAGACTTTATGTCACATTTTATAAGAAATAAATCCTATTTCAGTCGACGCCATTTTGAAATTTTACGCGACTGTTAAAATGCAAAGCTGAAACATGTAAGAATAAAACTTCTTAGTCCTTCATCGGTCCAGCTGCCGTCAATTTAACTTTCAGATGGTTTCATCGCTTTGATATCTGCCCTGTCTCGATATGACTTTGCTTACTCGGCATTTTCTTTTTTCATTATTTCTTATTTTCTTTCTTCTCCACATTTGTTCTTGCTCTTCTTTCTTTTTCTTCCTTTCCTTTTTAGACTTTCATAAATATATCTTTCTTTCTTTCTTTTTTCTTTCTTTCTTTCTCTTTTTTTTCTTTCTTATTTTCTTTCTTCCCAACATTTGTTCTTGCTCTTCTTTCTTTTTTCCTTTTCTTTTTAGTCCTTCATAAATATTTGCCTTCCTTCTTTCTTTTTTTTGCTTTCTTTCTTTCTTTCTTTCTTTCTTTCTTTTTTTCTCTTCCTTTTCCTTTTTAGTCCTTCCTTTTCCTTTTTTAGTCCTTTCTTTCTTTTTTTCTTTCTTTCTTTCTTTCTTTCTTTTTCTTCCCACATTTGTTTTCTTTTTTCTTTTTTTTCCTTTCCTTTTTAGTCTTTCATAAATATATTTTCCTTTCTTTTTTTTTTTTTTTTTTTTTCTTTTTTCTTTCTTTCTTTCTTTCTTTCTTTCCAACATTTGTTCTTGCTCTTCTTTATTTTTCGTTTTCTTTTTAGTCCTTCATAAATATTTCCTTCCTTCCTTCTTTCTTTCTTTTGCTTTCTTTCTTTCTTTCTTTCTTTCTTTCCCACATTTGTTCTTGCTTTTCTTTCTTTTTCTTCCTTTCCTTTTTAGTCCTTCATAAATATTTCCTTCCTTTTCTTTCTTTCTTTCTTTCTTTCTTTCTTTCTTTCTTTCTTTCTTTCTTTCTTTTTTTTCATTTGTTCTTGCTCTTCTTTTCTTCCCATATTTGTTCTTTAGTCCTTCTTTTTTTTCTTCCTTCTTTTTTTTTTTTTTTTTCTTTCTTTTTCTTTCTTTCTTTCTTTCTTTCTTTCTTTCTTTCTTCCCAACATTTGTTCTTGCTCTTCTTTCTTTTTCTTACTTTCCTTTTTAGTCCTTCATAAATATTTTCCTCCCTTCTTTCTTTCTTTCTTTCTTTCTTTCTTTTTTTCTTTCTTTCTTTTTTTCTTCCCCACATTTGTTCTTGCTCTTCTTTCTTTCCTTTTTAGTTCTTCATAAATATTCCTTTTTTCCATTTGTTCCAAATAAAGTTTTTTTTATGTTTATATTTGTACTTTCTTTCTTTTTCCTTTCATGTTTCTTTTTCTTTTGCGTTAGTTTTAGGAATCTGTCTTTTCTTTCTTTCTTTCTTTCTTTCTTTCTTTCTTTCTTTCTTTCTTTCGTTTGTTCTCACTTTTCTTTCTTTTTCTTCCTTTCCTTTTAACTCCTTCACAAACATTTTTTCTTTTCTAATTACAAATTTCTTTTTTATTATTTTTATCTCTTCTTTTTTGGTTCTTCCCGTTTCTTCCAAATATAGCTTTTACTTTTTCATTCATTCTTTCTTTAACTTCCGTCATTTCTTTCAAAATTCCAGCTATTTTTGACAGTTGCATAAAATAGATGTGTATATTACTATTGTTTTCTTTTTGAGAAAGAAGCTTAGATCTGCCTCTGTGGATGACAATGACATCAATGATGACGAAGACATCTCCTATACTGATAGCATAGTTGAAACCGTCATAATGTCTATCTTCGTCACGCAGACAGCAGGGAAACACACTAAAATGTATTTAATATCTGTGTGAATAATTTCTGTTTCTCCAACTGTAAACCTATTTCAGTGCAGGGTTTGTTTCTGTTTGTCTGTGAAAATTACTGTACTTTCTCCTAAATCGTGTAAATTCTGTTTCAAGACGAAACGAAAACTATAAAAATTCTTATTTTTAATTCGTTTAATTTTATTTATTTATTTATTTTATTATTTTATTGATTTATTTATTTATTTATTGTATTTATTTATTTTTTTATAATTTATAATATATTTATAATTATATATAATTATGATAATTATAATAACCATATATAATTATTTATAATTATATAATTTATATTTATAATTTATATTATATTTATATTTTATAGTTTTTATTTATCTTATTTATTTATTTTATTCATTTATTTTATTATTTTATTTCATTTATTCATTTTATTATTTTATTTTATTTATTTTATTTTATTTATTTATTTATTCTGTTATTTTATTTATTTTATTATTTTATTGTTTTATTTTATTTATTTTATTATTTTATTTTATTTATTTAATTTATTTAATTTATTTATTTTTTATAATTTATATTATATTTACAATTAAATATAATTATTTATATTTTATTTATAATTATATAATTTATATTTATAATCTATATTATATTTATATTTTATAGTTTTTATTTGACCGAGTGGTTGAAATTTATAAAATCTGTCTCTTAAAACAAATTTCCCTAAAAAATGGAACTCTCAATTGCTTTTTCTCGTATTGACGGAGAGAGGGTTGGTTTCCTTCCTAACCTTTTGCATGAAATAGTGTGAAATGTCAACATTTTGATTATGTCATTATTTTCACTTCGAGTTACATGTGCTATCCATTTCTGTTGTTGCTGCTGTTGGTAATCCTCAAGGAATTTGGCGTCTGCTATTTGGTACACTTCTTTGTGGTTCTGTAGCTAAGGTTCACTAGGTTTGAAGAATTATCGTCCTCGCTGTGACCTACAGGCTTCATTTGCTGGGAGATAATGTTACTAAAAGTTAAATATTAAATGTGCCTTTAATTTAACTGCTACAAATTCTTAAAAAAGCATCTGTATATTATACATGAAGGACTATTTTTCTTAGAATTATTATATTTTTTTCTAAAGTATGCGTTAGAGATGCGTATTATACATAAATGCGCATTAAGAACAAATAATTATTGTATTTGGGAAAGAAATGATGGTGAAAGAAAAAGATGAAAAAAAATGAAAGAATATTTTGAAGGAAGAGTAAAAACATAGGTAAGAAGAGGAGATAGAAACCATAAAAAAGATAAAGTCGTAATTATAATTAATATTTATTTATTTTATACTCATATGATATAAACATTGGGTTGACTACAGTCAGCTGCCCACACATATGTGGAGGACGAAAACATCTTGAATAAATCAGTTGACTAAATGGAATAAGACTTAGTGAGTAAATTAGCCGAGTGGTTAAAACGTTCAATTTCTGACCATGAGACACGGGTTCGAATCTCAACATGGTCGATTTTTCAGGAAGGAGACTTCCTGATGTTATCGGAGGGTAACGATCCCAGCGTGCGGCACCTTTGGAAAGAAGCCTGAAAACCATACCACGGGTTGACCCAAGCCTTGTGAGACTGAAATTAGGTAGACGGAACACTTGGTGGGCCGTCGATAGCTGTGCTAGCACGAAGTCACAAGTCATTGTGACCGAGGGCTTGAGTGTGCAGGCCATGTTCAGATTGTTGATCACGCTAGATAACACGTTCTCTCCCAGAAACTGTAACTAAGTTCTGCTCGGCATAGTTGCAGTATAAACCACAGGTATGTTCTGTGGGTGTTGAACAAACACAAATGTGCCTGTACGAGCGTCTAAATTAGGGATTGGCTAGCCTGCCTAGTAGACGGGCATCCTCGAATACGAGTCACCAGCTATATATATTTGTCTGACGATCGCAAAAGCGTGAAACCCACGGTCACAAACTCACATCAATCCAACTAATATGTTAGCTCTATCTCTCATATTGAGCGCTTTCCAATAAGTACCGCACATATATACTATATAAATAATATATATATATATATATAAATTGCATATATACATATGTATATATATTTATATTTATGTGCATACACTTTTCATATATATGTGTGTGTGTGTTTGTGTGTGTGTATGTGTAATAAAACTCTTTGATAATGGCTTATGATACCAGAAAAATTTTCCAAAAGATAGATAGATAGATAGATAGATAGATAGATAGATAGATAAACCTATATGTATAGAAAGAAAGAAAGAAACCGTGTGGACATAGAAATCGCATGATTGGATGATAGCTTAGGACGTGAAGCCGACAGTTGCCATGCAGTGTCGATTTCCATGTCCACATTTTTATCAACAAACACTCTATCCCCGATAATGAACATTTTTTCGCCATAAACATATTTAAATATAACAAATTTTAAACAATAGAATCATGTAATATATTCATGTATGTCTATACAAGGCTCGGCTCAGTCACACATAGTATCAATTCTGGAACACATGATGAAATTCGAACTCCCGACTCAATGTGTTACATTTTGACGGATTTTCCATCCTTCAAAAAAAAAAAAAAAAAAAACGTCAAAAGTGATATTACTTTCCGAACAAGCTAATATCAACTTCATTCTGCCTTCGAGCGCGTTTTTAAGATAAGTAAACGAACTACAAAAGATTTGTCTCCCTTTCTCATTCGGCACAAGTCTCTTTCTATTTTCTTTTTGTCGTCTTGTCGCCTCGGCGACCCACACCGAATGAGCATCTTATATATCATATCGGTTCAAAAAAGAAAAAAGAGTAAGCATGTCGGTTTCGTAATGCTGTCTGTGTTTCGGTGAAATGCCACTCGTTGACAGTTTTGTTTGGCTTCAAGGTTGTTATCGTTCACAAGTGTGTCGCAGGCAGTGAATTGCATAAAGAATTTAACATATGTTGTTGAAAATGCTATTTGCCTCGGAGACAAGGCCGAAGTAAAAGTCTTGCCCCAATCTGCGTTTCCACTATACGTAATCATATGCATATATACACACCTTCTGTAGACCGATATCCGTTATGATACCCGCAAATCCAGCGATTCCAGAACGATAGTCATTCGCACAGCGCAGGCAATGTTTTGTAGATAATTACAAAGTTTTGTGTTCTCTGGTACAAGGCCAATATAAAAGGCGCTAAACGTTGCTCTAACCGGGATCGAATAACCTCACTACACTAGAAGTAGTCTAACAATTTAATTGTTGCTGCTGTCAGTAGTCCTCAGGTGATGAGTATTTAGTACAGTTCTTTGTGATTCTGTAGCGCCAGTCTATAATATACAAAGAAGGATAAGCTTTACCAAAATCTACAGGCTTTACTCACTCAAAGCTTTTTTCTACCTTTGATTTTAAGTAACCATTGTTTACAGCTGACAGTTTAGATATTTCTGAACAGGTTTGGCGCCATTTATGACATATGACGAAGTTTATGAACATGACTCGAGTTTTCAGTTTGATGTCATAGCTTCGTTATAATTTCCTGTGTTGAGCGAAAGTAATATAATGAGTTCGATCCTAAGCGTTTTAATTTTCTACACCCACAGACATGATAAGGAAATTACTCTCGCTAACTATTGCAAATTGCCATTAGTTCCAGGCTGGCCTTGTTCCAGGTTAAGCTAACTTTAGTAAATAGTGCTATGACTTGCAATGTGCGTTTCTACTATGTGCTTTTCAGTGTCTAAAATTATCAAAGTAAATATTTAATTATATCGCTATTTGTAGAGTAATGGTTAACAAACTAGTATTCCTGTAATTTATTAGTGTAATAGAAATGATAATATTAACCTTTTCCCTACAAGGAAACATTTCATATTCATTAACCGAGCAGCCAGTACAGCTTTCGGTTGAAATTTTATAAAATCTTTCATTTAAAACACTTTTTTTTAGGAAAACAGGTTTCTCTAGTCCAGTAGCTGTTATATCTCTTTCCACTATTGATAGGAACTTCCTTCCTAACTTTTTATTTAAAGTAGTGTGAAATGTTAACATCTTGATTATGTCGATATTTTCTCTTTGAGTTACATATGCTATCCATTTTAGTTGTTCCTTCTGCTTAAAGTCCTCAAGAAATTTAGTTTCTGTTATTTAGTACAATTCTTTGTTTATGATTCTGTAACATCAGAATCACATTTAAGCGGATATATTCGGCTCGGAGCTATAATAATGAAGTGCCCAGAGAGAGGATCGAACTCACTATCATTTTATTAAGTAGCGATTTTTAAAATTTTTCTATCTCTTCAGGAAATAGGCGATTATGACTCTCCACAGATTTCTTTTTTTTATTATCTGTGAAAGGCTACAGATTGTTGGGAATGATATTGAAGTGGTTTCCCGTTGCTTTCTTCACGGTTTCAGGTGAGTTTTCTTTCTCTTCGACTGATTGCAACCAAGGCTAGAGGGTTCTGTCTATTCTACCATTTAAGCCATACCTGGAAGTAGGGAGAAAAGAAGGTTTCCTGCCGTTCCCAAGGGTATTAGTGCGGTAGTGAACACAACTGACAAGGTCTGTTCAAAGCTGAATGATATTTACCAAAGCCTTTTTTCACCATTGACCTTAGGAAGAGGTTGTATACGGCTGACATTTTAGATATTA